CCGGCGCCCCGCACAAACAACCTTTCTCAGGGGAAAAGTTAAACCATGTGGCCAAGACGACCAGCCGGGCAGCTCAGCAGAGGGGTCGACAGCCACGTGGTTCCCGTGTTCCCCCAGAAGACCCTCACCACCGTAGGAAAGCCAGGGGTAGGGAGTGCTGCCGCCAAAGACCACCAGCCTCCACGGCGTCTCAGGGCCCCTCTGCTGACCCCAGGCTGCTGTGGCGCTCAGCCTGCACAGCCCTGTCTGGAGGACTCGAGGACGCTCACATGGAAGTCTGCTCAGAGTGCCCATCTGTTTCCTGCATCCAAAAGATGCGCACGCCACTAACTGTGGTACGTGCTTGTTTTCCAGAACCTTCCTCCCCGCGACAGCTGCCCATGTGCCCGCCCTGCCCCAAGCAAGCAAACAAAAACAGAACACATTTCTGTTCAGAGTTAGTTCTGGCGATAGTATCAACCCCCACCACTTCCAAGTGCCTGTGTGTACCCCAAACTACACCCGGCCCATCACAGAGAGCATGCTGCTTGCACTCACACTTCCGGTGAGGTAGGTATATATTAGACCCATCATGCAGGTCAGAGAGTTGGGGCTGCAGTCATTAAGCGGCCACACAAGTAACAGAGGACACAGATCACACCTAGGGCTGCGTAACTCCAGCATCTCTGCTCCTCCCATCCTGACAGTAACTCTGGTTTGGCATACAGCTAAGGGGAGGGCTGGGGCAGGCCAAAGGCACATTCTGGTGGCAAATAACCCCCTCCCAGTCTCACGCCTCTCAGCTACGGCCACAGAGCCTTTCACTGGGAAGGAAGGTTAACAGCTTCCACCCCGGGCAGCAGGGTCTGGGAAAGGTCTTGCTGTGCTGTCACAGCCCTAGGGAAATGAGCCGAGGCAAGGGTGCCCGCCAATCTCGTCACACCTTGTCTCTGCAGCTCCCCTTACACTGTTGGGGTGCTGCCTTGGCTTACCTGCTGGGCCCATTTATCCTGGGGCTAAACAAACAGGCTCTGAAGTTAGACCTCCTGATTCTAGTGCTTATAAGTGGCTTTGTGACCCTGGGCAAGTCATTTCACGTCTCAACTAAGACTGAGTTTTCTCACCTGTACAGTGGGGAGACAGTAAACCAATCTATTTGGGTAGCCATCTCCACGTGATTCTAACACACTCAGTCCCGAGGACACTGCTCAGCACGGGGAGATGCAGCCGTGCAGTTGCCGGGCATATTCACACTCTGCTCTCAATATGGCCTGCTCATTCCCGGACCAGAGCTGCATTCCCCATGCTGCTTCAGGTCTGCTACAAATGGGCCTTTTGAGAATCCAGCTCTTTTTAACCTCAGGTCTGCCTGGGGCTAAGTCCCCTCAATGGAAGACTGCTTACAAGATAACAGAACTTGGTATCCAGGAGGCTTGACTTCACTCTTATCCAGGAGGTGAAACCACAGATCCAAAGTATTTCAATAATCTCTTCCTAACACTGAACACTAAATGAAATGAGCGTTTCTCATGGACTTGTTGCCTGTCTCCCTTATTTGAATGGACGTCCTGCAGGAGAGGACTTCCCTCTTGGTCCCTGCTGCAGCCTCAGTGCCCATGGCAGTGCTGGAATACAGCCGTTGCATCATGCATTTGGAAAAAAGGAGATAGGAAGGTTAAAAAAAAAAAAAGCTTTCCTGTTAGGCATGAGCAGCGCGAGGTAAGGGTCATGCACACTGACTTCTCGTTCTCGACTGCCAAGATGGTCAGTGTACCTAAAACTCGAAGGACTTTCTGTAAGAAATGTGGCAAGCACCAGCCTCACAAAGTGACCCAGTATAAGGGCAAGGATTCCCTGTATGATGCTCAAGGGAAGAGGCGCTACGACCGGAAGCAGAGTGGCTATGGTGGGCAGACAAAGCCAATTTTCCAGAAGAAGGCTAAAACCACAAAGAAGATTGTCCTAAGGCTTGAGTGTGTTGAACCGAACTGCAGATCCAAGAGGATGCTGGCCATTAAAAGATGCTAACATTTTGAGCTAGGGGAGATAGAAGAGAAAGGGCCAGGTGATCCAGTGCTAAACTTTGAGATTGCTTTGTTCTTTTAATTTTGAGCAGAAAATGCTGAAGATACAGAAAATTTACCTGTAGAAAAATAAATGGTGATATTCTTAATAAAAAAAAGAACACACACACACAGAACCTCTCAAACGCCAATCAACTTTATTTTTACATTAATATTTGGTGTACCATAAGAGACTTTACCAAAAGAGTCTGTTGTCACAAACTGTATTTGAATGGATGTCAATGACGAATTTCACTTGTGGCTCCAACAAGGCATTCTCAAACATTCTCTGAACCATGATACGGTGAGGAAGCACTAAAGGAAGACAGAGAGTCTCTGAGTAAAGCCCTGGTGTATTTAACATATGACCTTGAAGAGCCACCGCAATGGTGGGGAGATTGAGAAGAGACCTGGGTTCTAGCCTCTGCTCTGCTATGAACAAGCTGCACAGACCCCAAGGTTATTCGTTTGTCAAATATAGTAGACCACCCTTGGGACCAGCAGTTAGCATAATGGCTATGTCACTGGACTCCCACGTAGTCGACCGCGGTTCAAGTCCTGGACCTGGTGGCTTAAACTCACGCTGGGCGCGCGTGTGTGTGTGCATGCATGCCCAAGATCCCAAGAGGAGAATGGAGGAGAAGGGATTGTGGCGTGGCCACCCCCTGGGGGGTGATTTCTCGCTTTCTATCTCTCTGTCTCTCTCGCGAGCGCACCACGCCCTCTAGCGAAAAACTCTCAAAAAAATTATATATATAATAAAGATCTGCACCTGGGGCCAGCTACTGGATGGGGGTAAAGGCAGCTGGACCCCACAGCTTGACAATCATGTCGGGCACATGTGTGTCCATGCCCCAAGTCCCAAAAAGAACACAGAAGGGACTGTGATGTGGCCCTCACCGTTGTGGGGTAATTTCTCACTTTCCTTTTCCCTCTATCGCTGTCTCTCCCTGGTGAGTGCAGAGAGCCCTATAGCAAATTTAAAAAAGAAAAAAAAAAAATCTGCATCTGAACTTTTCAGTGTCTGTAGCTAGGCTGACTGACCTCAGAAAAACATATTTAAACTAGAGCTCATAAAATTGGCAGTGCCCAAGAAAAACAGGGAACTCACGAGTGGCACGTGGTACAGGCTAACAGGAAAAGAACCTGGGTTCAACATGGCCGACCAATTCTCCACCGAGGCAGGTACGAGCTCTTGCTCTCAGATAAGCTCTCGAGTTGGGCTGTACTTCTGTATTCTATCTCCATCAGCCCCATTTCTTTTGATCAAAGGCTGTCTGGGATGATAGCTAGCATCGTCACAGGGAGTGAGGCGTGCGGAACGCCTGGTGCCCACAGGTTCATACCAAGCAGCTGGCCAGAGGGGCATCAGGCATGGCCAGCACCACCTGGCACGCCAGTCTTACCCTGCCCCTGCCTCTCTGCTGAACGCTCCCAACTAACCACACCGGCCCTCTCTCTGCTTCTCAATGGGTGGGTCTGCACAGGCGGCCTTCCTCTTCAAATCCCTCCCCATTTAGGGTTGCTGGACTTTCAGATCCACAGTGAATAACATTCTAGTGTGAGTGTGCTCCACGCATTATATAGGACATGGGTTTTTATTTGCTAAATGTGGCACTCTATCCCTGGTCTCCTCTTAAATCTTATCCATTCTTCAGAGAGGGCCCTGCCCAAACTCCAACTTTAAGATATCATATTCTTCAAAATTCCTGCAGTAACACCGATACTAACTGAATGCTAAATGCTTTTGGGGTGACACCGTCACCAGCTGTCACCTTCCTTGCTACCTCTACCTACAGAGGTCAAGGTTGGCCCTCACACCTGGCACAGGGAGGATGTATATGCTGCAGGAGGTGCTCAG